TTTTTGCCTTTTTGAACTTTTTTGTTAGTTTTATCTAATGGTATAAAGAACATATTTTACACAGAAAAACTTTTTTAATCACAATCAGAATCAGAAATACTTTTATTATCCCAGAGGGAAATTATTTTTGTTACTAGCTCGATAAATAAAACAACGGCATATACATATTTACATGTCTATGTATATATATATATACATACAAAATTCCACATAGAATATAGATAAATATATACATAAATAACTACATGTATATATATAGGTATAAGCAGTTTAGTTAATATGTAAAAATATATGTAATATAAAAAAATATAGTATTCTACAGCATTTTTTGCCTTTTTGAACTTTTTTGTTAGTTTTATCTAATGGTATAAAGAACATATTTTGCATAAAAACCTTTTTTAAGCAGTTTAATGAATATGTTTTAGTAGAATAACATCACTAAGTGATTTATAACAATGAACAATGTATATATGTTGTATATTTCTACTCTTTTTCATGTTCCTATCATATCCTAATGTGATTTTTTTTTATGGTTTGTTCATAATGTAATGTAATTTCTTCATGTGAGGACCCCAGGAAGACTAGTGGCCATTTATTTGGCAGCTATTTCGGATCCTAATGAAACTAAACTAAACTAAACAAAACAGAAAAGCAGATTCAGAGTGAATACGTGTTATTTATTGTCTGACGTCTTAATTCGTGTGTCCTATTTGTGGTTTTCTGCTGGTCCATCGCCCTCAATCAGAGACTCATTTACAACTCAATCAGAATCCATTGTTCAGGTTCAAAAGGAAAATTTTGAAGCCCTTTGTGTGAAGGGTTTGGGGATCGAGGTCAACCAGCAGAAACCCGACCCCGAACCCTTTTAACACTCTTTGTACAGAAGAAGAGCAGGGTGCTGATTGTAATGTCAAAATGCCACAGAATGCCTCATTTTGACATTTTAACCGGATTAAAAAATGAGGGAACATTGAGATACTGAAGCAGCTCCTGTTGGCCCACAGCCAGTGGAACTCAAAAGTTAGAGTCATTATTTATTTATTAATTTATTTATTAATTTTATTATTTATTTGTTTTCCAGCATTTAAGGTTTAAAGCACATCTTTACCTCCTTTTAACCCTATAATGCCAAATGTATCATATCTGATTCAAGCTGTTTTTAGGGCTTTTAAAGCTGTTTTGGGGGCTTTTAAAGCTGTTTTTTGGGGGGATTTAAAGCTGTTTTGGGGTCCTCAACCCTATAATGCCAAATGTGTCATATTTGATCCGCTTTCTTTTGGATGTGAGACTTTCTGCATCATTCAGTGGTAAAAGCTTTGCTCAAACCCCTGTTGTACACATTCAGATATACCTGATAACAGCCAGTAGAAGACTACACCAACATATATTTATGACTTATTGCACGCTAATTTGATCAAAATAATTTCTGTTTTTTTTCTTCATATACTGTTGAGGGAACAAAGAAAGACTTCAGACTAAAAAAATCCAATATTCTTCCTATTTTTCTTGGATCGGCTCAGAGTTAAAGAGGCCTTTGCTTTCCAAATTATTGAAATCAATGCAAAGAAACCATGAACACATGTTTTATTCATCTGAATCAAATAACTTCTGAAATACATTCTAGACCATTTGTTTTAAAGTTTAAAAAAATGATTGTGTGACATTTATAGTATTTATTTCTGTTTAATCCCCAGGCTGGACACATAAGTGCTACAAAAAATATCATTTTCTTTCCTCAGACTTTACAGTTAGATTTAAAATGTGGCATTTACTCACATTTACTTGCACACGCCAAAAATTTGATATGAGTCAAAATATTTATAGCCTCATATTTCATGTGGTAAAAAGATAATCTATTAAAGAGAACCAGATTCAAATTGAATGAGTTCATGGACTGTATTGACTACGTATTTCACATAACCTTTCCTGTGGCGCCTCCTGTTGGACTGATTTAGTTAATACTACCAAATAAATGATAAAAATAAATAAGGAAAAAAAATACTGTGACTGTGCACCTTCCTGCCTAATGGTGACTATTTCAGAACTAGGAACATGGACTATACTGTATTACAGCAAAGAGACATAGTCAATCATTTATTATTTCAAGTCTTCAGTAAATATATTATTTTTGTTTGGAACGAAATATTATTTTTTCTTTCTTTATTTTTACTTTCTTACCTCAGGTACAAGTATTGCTTTTTATTTCCACTTTATAATTTATAACACACAGGGTCAGAAACCTCTCAAATAAGTAACGTTAACTTTAGCATTTGTAAAGACACAGGGGATTTTATTTGTTTGCTATTTGGTACATTAGCCAGGAAAACAACTATTAACCTGTCAGACATGTCAGAACTGTGCATGTGCAAAACTTTTATTTTTTTTACATTTGGTACATCTAAGTTTTTGTCTAAATGTATCCCTTCATCCATATTCTGTACCTCTTATTCCCACTGGAGCTGACCAGAAATAAATTGAATTAGACAAGTGGATACAGACGTAAAACATACCTTAATTTATTTTAACGTTATATTTTTTATTTGTATTTATTTTTAAATGTATTTTTAACTTGTGCATTTGTATTGATGAGCAAAACTGTTGTGACTTCAAACTTGTATGTTTTCTCTTTCCAAAACGATGATATTGCATCTATTTTTTGTCCCCCACGCCATTAGACTGTAGGGGGACAGGGGGAAGAGATATTACATACACACAACTCCTATTATTATATACACTTACTTAATCTGTGTTTTTTGTATTTTTTATATATTTATTTTTCTTTTCATTTTTTTGCTTGATTTCATTGCATTTAACTTCATACTTTTTTGCCCTGTAAGCTGCTGGTAACCTTAATTTCTTTAGGGAGTCTTCCCAAGGGATCAATAAATCAGTGTTTTTAAACCGCTGTGCCTCGGTACACTAGTGTGCTGTGAGTGATGGTCAGGTGTGCCGTAGAAAATCATCCTATTTCACCTAATTGGTCTAAAAAGATTTTTTGATAAGGAATTAACTATCTGCAAATAATATGCCATTTTTGAGTGTCTGTGCTGTTCTAGTGACTGGTGGAGTAATCATGTAATAATTCTTTATGACTAGATTTTGTATATAATTTTGTATATTGAAGTGGACATGTTAAGTACAATTTGAGAGAAGAAATATAAGATATGATAAAGATAGATTTTTGTGTTTAATTGATTCCTATTCAAAACAAATAAGATACGAATAAGATAAGAATAACTCTACAGATTTGTTTGACATTTTTGGTTGGTGGTGTGCCTCGTGATTTTTTCAATGAAAAAATGTACCTTGGCTCAAAAAAGGTTGAAAAACACTGCAATAAAGAACTGTCTAAGTCTAAGTCTAAGTATATGTTATTCATTAGTTCGGTGGGCCTGTTTAAAGCGGGTGCAGTAGCGACCTCCCGCCACCGGTGGCGCTGCTCCATATTACGCGTTCTCTACTACAACAGAGCCCGCACGCGGAAGGAAGCCCGCCATTGAGTCAAACTCGCAACGTGAGCGATACGTTAAACTGCACTCTAACATAAAGGTGCATTTTTTTTGGTCACATACCAATTGTTGGTACATTTTCAGAAGAATGGCGTACAGAGGACAAGGCCAGAAGGTCCAGAAGGTTATGGTTCAGCCCATTGTATCCTTTTTTATGACCGTTAACGGCTTTTACTTGGAGCGGTTGCTAGCATAATTTAGCATGAATGCTATATGCTAATCTTTCTTTTTATTTGATTTAGCCCCTTAGCTAATCGGTGCTCGATGATTTTATGTGAATGGTTTCTCGGTTTCCTTCAAAGGAGTTGAGGAATACGTTGGAGAAGTCTTGCATGTAGTTTATTTTATTATGTTCCAGTGAAAAGCCTTAAAATAACCATAGTTTATAGTGCTAGGCCGCGCTACAAACGATGGTACTACAGGTTATTTTAAGTATTTAAAAGCTGAGATTTCTGATATAAACGTTCCTAACGTGCTAATGGTACTTTCGTTTGTCTACCATTGAGGTGAAATCTAAATGCGTGTATTTTCCATTTATATTTATAACAT